AACTGGGTGCTGCCTGGGCCCCACACCTGGCAGCGTCAGGACGGCAGCGGGGCTGATCGATGCCTTTGTCACCACGGAGGCCATGCAAAAGGCAAATGTCTGCGTTGCGAAGGCTGCTGATGGGGCTGGAGACGGCCGCACTGCCCTCCCCCAGGACTCTCTTATAGTCAATGGAGTTTATTACTTTCACGTTATTTTCTCTCTCTCTCTGAAGAGCATCTTTTTGGCAGTGCTGCTTTGCAAACAAGGAGCCAGCCTCCGGCAGGGGTAGGGTCTCAGCACCGGGCTTTGCTTGCCAAGCAGTGGGAGAGGAAGCCCCTGGCACCCCCTCCGCCTTGCCTGCCAGCCTCTCTGCTGACAGGGGACGAGAGGGAGAAGGTGAGGGTGAGGGCAGGCGGCTTCTCCGAGCTGAGCTCCGAGGAAGAGCAGCAGCAGGATTTCATTACCCTGCCTCTTAAGGCAGTGAAGTCTCCATCCCTCCCACGCTCCCTCCCCAGCCCGACCCCGTCCGGCACAGGGGTGGCAGGACCTCAGCCTTCGTCTGGAGCTTCCTGACAAGCCGTAAGTCCTTCCTGGGGATGAAGATCAATTTTCCCCCTGGCTATTTTATGGTCACCCCATCAGCCCCTTGGCACGGCCGGTAGAGTTGAAGCCAGGATCAATTTTGGGGATTGGCTTTGGGGCTGTATCCTGCTCTGCTTCAGGAGCAGGGAGAGGGAACAGCCCTGCTGAGAACCCCTCAACAATGAGGCGAAGGGGCCAAGGTGGGTTGGGGAGCTGCCAGGGTTGTTTGGGGATGGGAAATGGGGCAAGGAGCGCTTGGGAACCTTGGACTGGGGGGAGATTTTGGGTGGTTTCCCAAAGGAAAGGCTGTGGTGAGCAGCAGCATCCTGGCACCCTGACATCCACAGGGAGAGGGGCAGAGGGAGTGGGGGCAGCAGAGGGTTTGGGAAAACATCCCACAAACCTCCCTGTCTCTCTGCAGCCATGAATCCCTACGTCAACTGCTCTGGCCCTGAGTTTCCCCTGCCCCAGCGAGACTTTTCCATGGAGCCCATCAGCCCTGATCTCTGCAACAGGACTCACCCAGAGACCTTGTTCGACCCCAAGGATGCCAACCTGACGGAGGAGCAGCTGCGGGATAAGTACCTGGGACCTCGACGGTCCAGCTTCTTCATCCCTGTCTGTGTCATCTACCTGCTGATCTTCGTGGTGGGGGCTGTGGGCAACACACTCACGTGCATCGTCATCCTCCGGCACCGGTTCATGAGGACGCCCACCAACTACTACCTGTTCAGCCTGGCCGTGTCTGACCTGCTGGTGCTGCTGCTGGGGATGCCACTGGAGCTGTACGACATGTGGAGCAACTACCCCTTCCTGCTGGGCGCCAGCGGCTGCTATTTCAAGACGTTGCTCTTTGAGGCCGTCTGCTTTGCCTCCATCCTCAACGTCACGGCCCTGAGCGTGGAGCGCTACATTGCTGTGGTGCACCCGCTCAAGGCCAAGTATGTGGTGACTAGGAATCATGCCAAGAGGGTCATCATCACCATCTGGGTCTTGTCAGTCATCTGCTCCATCCCCAACACCAGCCTCCATGGGCTGCAGCCTCTCTACGTGCCCGGCCGCGGGTGGGTGCCCAATTCGGAGATCTGCACCCTAGTGAAGCCGCGCTTGACCTACAACCTCATCATCCAGATCACCACCATTGTTTTCTTCTTCCTGCCCATGGGGACTATCAGCATCCTTTACCTGCTCATCGGCCTGCAGCTCAAGAAAGAAAAGATGCTGGAGGCCTTGGGAGCCAAATCCGGTGGCGGCCGCAACTGCCACAATGCTCAGGGGCAGAAGAAAGTCAAGAGGAGGCAGGTCACAAAGATGCTGTGTGAGTCTGATGATGGGGAGTCTGATGCTGGGGATGGGCAGAGCCAGGGGGCATGTCCCAAGGCAGTGTTGGGAGGGTGCTGGGGGAAACTGAGGCACAGCCAGTCTAGAGCACTGAGGCTGTGTCATCCCAGAGGAAGGCTGCAGGGCTCACTCGTGAGGTGTCAGGGCACAGGCTGATCTGGTGGCTCCGGTCCAGTGGTGAGGATTGCTCATGCCAGCTCCCTCCCAGCCATGAGACTTCCCCTCCTCAAGGAAAGTGCTGGGTGAGAAAGGGAAAGGAGGTGGGTTGGGCTGGGGGAATCTGTTCTCTGTTCCCCGGCCAAGACCTCGCATGCTGGTCGTGGTGGTGGGATTTCCCAGGGGGAGACCAGTTCCTACGCAGCCCCACAGCCTCTGCGACCACCCCAGGGCAATGGTGCACTGACCCAAGGCTGGACTGGAGCATCCCTCCGTCTCACTGCTCTGCACCCTTGCTGCTCTCCCCAGCCCCGTCCCCACAGCCTCTGGCCCCCTTCCCGGCACCGGGAGCTGGCTGCCCGTGGGTAGCTGTCTCTCCCTGGCACGCTGACCTCTGCGTGCTCCCAGCCCCGTGACAGCACAGCGATGGCGGGTTGCCCAGCCCAGTCCATCAGCAGGGCCAGGGCTGTTTCTCTGCCACGTCCCAGGCAAGTGATAACTCTGCTTTTTCCCCAGCACTAGAGCTGGGAGGGGGACAAAGAGGGACCTGTCCCTGTGTGCCACAGAGATACAGCGTGGCATGGGTATGGCAGGGCTGGGGACCCCAGGACCCCATCCATACATCACCCCCTTTCCTTTCCATCAGCACAGCTAGGTTATAAAAAAATCCCCAAACCCAGACCACGAGGAAAGGGCACAAACAGCTCTTGCTCCTTGGACTTTGCCGGTGAAGGTGGCAGGGTTCCCAGCGGCTGGATGCCCACAGGGGCGTCCCCCAGCCGTGCTGCATGGCCCCGCGGC